AGAGAAACCTCTTTTTTTCTAGAATCATTTTTAGATAAAAATAGTAGATGAATACTCTAATTCATCTATTAGATTTGATCTTAGAATTTCTGTGATTAACCACTTTAAATCTAAGTATTAAGTGGTTGTCATTTTTAGGTGTTAGCGCTATGATGGTATTACTGGTGTTACCAGTATGACATTGTTCCCTGGTGTTACTACTTTCCCTGATGCCAATGAATATATGCTATACTCTGTAAATAGACTAAAAGACATCTTTTTCTTATAGTATATTAAGTGTATTTGTGCAAGTTTACTTAAAATCCTTCTGTATAAATCAGTTGGTTAGTTTCAGGTTGGGTTGGGAATGGTAGCAGTTGTGGTAATAAGTCACTTCAGTAATGTCTGACTCTTTGCAACTCTGTGGACTTTAGCCTGCCAGGTTCCTCTGTCCATGGGGTACTTCAGACAGGAATACTGGAATGGGTTGCCCTGCCCTCCTCTAGGGGATCTTCCCAACTCAGGAGTTGAACCTGCATCTGTTATGTCTCCTGCATTGACAGACAAGTTCTCTACCACTAGCACCACCTGGGAAGTCCTAAGTTGGAGATAGGTTTGATAAAAATGTGATTCTTCAAGCTCTGCACTTCCAAGTCTATTCTTCTTTCTATCAAAATCATGTTCCACTGGTCTAACCCAGCCAGAGAAAGAAGGGAGCTTTGATTTTTGATCTTCCGTCTGGGTTTGGTTTAGGAAAATGTTTGGTAGAATATTACAGACCAGAAAACATGTATATCACACCTCTAGATAGAAAAAAAAAAAAAGAAGTTAAATCCCAAGGGGGGCCCTCCAATTTTTTTAAAGGAAAAAATTAAAATCTGCATTAAAAAATAATGATTTCTATCCATATTTATTATATTGTTGTTGTTCAGTCTCTTGGTCATGTATGACTCTTTGCAACCCCATGGACTGCAGCACACCAGGCTTCCCTGTCCTTCACCATCTCCCAGAGCTTGCTCAAACTCACGTCCATCGAGTCAGTGATGCCATTCAACCATCTCATCCTCTGTTGTCCCCTTCTCCTCCTGCCTTCAATCTTTCCCAGCATCGGGGTTTTTTCCAGTGACTCGGCTCTTCCCATCAGATGACAAAACTATTGGAGCTTCAGCTTCAAATCAGTCCTTGCAATGAATATTTAGGGTTGATTTGCTTTAGGATTGACTGGTTTGATCTCCTTGCAGTCCAAGGGACTCTCAAGAGTCTTCTCCAACATCACAGTTCAAAAGCATCAATTCTTTGGCATTCAGCCTTCTATATTTATTGTATGGAAAGATGTTATTCAGTAAATTTCTTCCCAGTTAGACTATAAATTCTGTGAGAGCAGAGGTGTTTTGTGTTCTCCACTCTATTTCTGGGCCTAGTACAGTGACTAGAAAGTGGTAGACACTCAATTCAGCTGTTGAGTGACTAAATGGGTAAATTTCACAGTAGATTAAATGAAAACCAGGTTGTAAAGCAGTATATATTGTAAGACTCTCCATATTAAAGTGTATTTACATGTCCTTTTTGTATATGTATGTGTGCATACACATGATTACACAAAGGTAAATATTATAGGGTGGTAGAATTACAGATGATCTTTCTTTTCTTTTTTTTACCTTGTTAAATGTTTTGCATTTTTGCTATATGTTCCTTTTTTAATCTGGGAGATCTTTTTTTTTTCCCCTTTTATTTTTATTAGTTGGAGGCTAATTACTTTACATCATTACAGTAGTTTTTGTCATACATTGAAATTAATTAGCCATGGATTTACATGTATTCCCTATCCCGGTCCCCCCTCCCACCTTCCTCTCCACCCGATTCCTCTGGGTCTTCCCAGTGCACCAGGCCCGAGCACTTGTCTCATGCACCCAACCTGGGCTGGTGATCTGTTTCACCCTAGATAATATGCATGTTTCAATGCTGTTCTCTTGAGAGGGTGAAGGGTGAAGGATAAAAAGAATTAACAATAAAGAATGGAGAAAAAGGAAGCATTGACACTAGGAGATAAATTTACTGCTAAAGGTATAACTGATAGGATTTCAAGTGATCTGTCACCCTCTGACCATTCCACATGGGTAAATACCTACTCTACCCACCCTGGCTTCTTTCAAAGACGAGGAGCTTTAACTTCAAATAGGAGGTAAACTTGAGGAACTCCTGAAGGTTCAGAAAGCCCAGGATTGCCAGCCTCCAATAGGCTTAGGAATAGTCCATCCTCTCCACCACTACTCTGACCTGAAACATCATGCCCTCACCCTGAAAGCTTCCATGCTCCACTAGCACATGGTTTAGTCCCAGTCTATGTCAAGAACATGGGACATGATGCCAGTCCTGGAATTCTCCCGGGAATTGGTCTGGATATCTGCCCTGTATCTTTGTCCTTCCTTTGTGCGGCCCAAACTCTCTCTCTTTCCCAGGCCGGCTCCAGGCTTCCTCTCCCAGGCTTTCACTACCTCCCTCAAGAGCCCCCTCTGCCAACTCTTCTCAAAAGAGTTCACAAAAGGGTCCTAGGTGCTCACTGTAACTTTCATCTCCATCCTGCTTTGCAGTGTGAACTATCCCATCTTCCTGTCAGCCTGGGAGGAGGGAGGTTCTGTTCTCCTTATTCATTTCAGTTCATTCTTTCAATTGATGACCAAAATTTTACTCAGTGCCCTACACCCTATGCAGGGCCCTGAGACAGCACACCACACCAAGATTTTCACACATGGACCAGATGGATAAAGAGACTACGGAGACTCATAGAACTCTGTTCAGTGTTATGCGGCAGCTTGGATGGGATGGGAGTTTGGGGGAGAATGGATACACATATATCTATGGCTGAGTCCCTTCACTGTTCTCCTGAAACTGCCACAGTGTTTTATTAATTGGCTGTAACCCAATACAAAATTAAAAGTTTAAAAAGAGAGAGAGACTGCAGCGGCTACCCTCAACCCTGCTGCTCCAATGTAGTGAAAAGTTGGGTTAATCCACGACTCTTCCCAGTAAACTAAACAATACATGAAACAGAGCATCTGAGGTGTTTTCCTAAGATTAGTGAAGTTTCTTGGAATGTCTCTAAAGGGCCAGTAAGAGCAGTAATCCAGAATGGTCTGCCCTGCTCCCAAAATCCCCAGAGCTGTGCCAGGGATAAATAGGAAAGAGGGCTACCTCCTGCCTGTAGACCTTAAAAAGATGGGAATAGATTTACTGCACTCTCAAGTGTAGGAACTTTGAAATATCTCCTTCTCCAGAGCTGCTATACTTGGGGTGAACACAGGAGATCAGATCAGGCTCTAGAACATGAATCTTGCGCAATCTCCTGGTGATCTCCTTGGACCATCAGAGAAATGTACCGTTGCCTTCTCATTAGTCCAGTTCTGATCTCACTTCTGGGTGGTAATGCATGACTTACAGTCACTTACAAACCAGTTTTATCACACTCAAAGGCCTGCCAAAGGGATTGGTTTGGCAGGTGGGAAAAGGAATGAGACTCTAATTGCTGTCTCCACAGACTCTCTCAGGCTCTCTGGTTTCCATCAGTGGCTATCTTATTACCCTGATCCTTCCTGGGTTTGGGATTCAGCTTTCTGAGAATGACTGGGAAACGTTGGTGTAAGGGTAAACACGCATCTTCCCCAATCATAATTTTACGTCTATCTGGTGTGAGCCTCACTAGTGTAGCACTCCTGCCTCTTACCTGAAAGAAAGCAAAAGTGTTAGTGTCTCAGTTGTGTCTGGCTCTTTGTGACCCCATGGATGAGGTTTCTCTGTCAATTAAATAGCACAGGTATAGGACATTGTCATCATCTGAGAAAGGTCCAGTGGACAGCACTATAACTTTTATTATAAGCCCAAAAGACTTTCCCTTCCATTTGCATATAGAGCGAGGCTCAACAGAGATGTTCAGTCGCTCAGTCATGTCCAACTCTTTGTGACCCCATGGATGAGGTTTCTCTGTCAATAGAATTCTCCAGGCAAGAATACTGGAGTGGGTTGCCATTCCCTTCACCAGGGGATCTTCCTAACCCAGAGATCAAACCTGGGTCTCCCGCGTTGCAGACTGATTCTTTACCATCTGAACCACCATGGAAACCCTTGCTTCTTACCTGGAAGGAACCAAATCCCACTGGAATCTATTACGTTGATGAACTGCAAAACATTCCTCTACCAAGACTGGGTCTCAGCGACCCAGTGGGGGCAAGAGAGTGGGTGGGAAGGGCTCCTTGGGAGTGGGAAGTTCCCACTGAAGCAACATAAATACTCTTGACCAGTCCTATCACGAGAACACAACCAAATGGATAGAGGGGAAGCCAAGACTATGCAGTGTCCTTTACACCTACTACTACCCTTCTAGGAGATCGCCATCCATCCCTGATTTCCATCTATTCTGGGACCTTGGTTTATTCTGTGACTCCTTGAAAGCCAAACACCAGAATATGAAATACAATGCAATTTATTGGGAAAAGAAAGTACAACAACCATCAGCAGAGGATCCACAGCTCAGGGAATTAAGGTGCCAGAGGTGAGTCAGGATATGATGTCCAGATGTGGGGCGGGAACCCTGAGGACCAACAGTCCGGAGGTCTTAACCATTTACCCTCTAGCAGCAGCCCCACTGCACTGCCCTCCTCAGGCAGGGGCGGAAACATTCCAGCCTCAGACCATCAACTGCCAAGAGAGATGGGCCAGGGCGGGAACAGGCCAGGCTGGGAAGACCCACACTTGTCTGGGCTGAGGTGTTGCTGTCCAAAGTCAGGGGCCTTTACAAGGGTGCATCTAGGGGCATCATCATTCCAGACTAGCAGCAGGACCTCCCTAGCCTAGAAGAGGTCTTGGGGATGGAGGAGCCAGGAAGAAGTTCAACCGCTTCTCCCAGGAGCTTGAGGAAAAGCAAGGTTGGGGTTGGCATTTGTTGATGCCAAGCAGAGAGGGGAGAAGTGCTGTCACAAGCTGAGGAGGACCCAGTGGGCGTGGAGATTGACCCCCCTGCCAAAGGATCACTTGCAAAGCTGGTTTGAGCTGGTGGTCTGAGTGAAGCAGATGGTGGTGCCGCCCCCACCGCCAGACTTGTAGCCAGTGCTTCCCAAGCTCTGGATGCCGCTCTGTTTCCCAGAGCCACTGCTCCCATTGCTGTAGGCCTGGCAGCCCCCGCCGCTGCCTCTGCCCCCAACGCTGCCACCGCCGACTCCTCCGTAGCTGCCGCTGTTGCCTCTGTTGCTGCCTCTTCTGCCGCTGCCGCCGCCACCTCTGTAGCCACCGCCACTGCCACGGGTGACCCCTCCAAATCCCGCACGGCCTCCACCAGGGCTGGTGTCTGTGCTGGTGACGTTGCTGACCACCGCTAAGCGGGACAAGCACTCGACTCAGCCTCGAGCCCTGGGCCTGGATCCCAACCCTGCTTGGCTGTGTGACTCAGAGAAAGTTACTCGGTTCTCTGAGGCCTCAGGGGGTAAAGAGCAGGAGTGAGCCCTGGCCCTCTGGCCCCCTTCCCCCGGAATAAGAGGCAGAAGTATCCACAGGAATTTCTGGTTCTCCAACATAAGGAATTCCCCGGGACTGCAGGGGCTTCAGCTCTGGCCTGCCAGTTGATCACATTGCACCAGGAGCAGAGTAGTGTGGCCGTGGCCTGAGGCCCTGCACACTTTGGTGGCCTGGCCACCTTGCATGGGTCAGGCTTTCCCACCCAAATGTCAGTTAGGATGTTTCTAGTTGCCCTTTTTGCATCCCAGGGAGAAAGTTTTTGAAAGGCTATTTACAAATGCACACAGCGCTCTGACACTCTCCAGACATCCTAAAAAGAGGAGCTGAGGATTATTTCTGCAATGAGTCCTTAGCCGAAGAGCTCAGGGTCCATAACCCTGGGAGCTATGTCCTCCCGTTTGCCCTCATAGGGGTCAAGCTCCCAAAAGAAGAAAGGCTATTCTGAGTCTGTTTGCAGACACAGATCTCCCCAGGAAAAGGGGCTGCTGCAGAGGGGTAAGCCTTCCAGCAGCTCCACCAATCACCATCTCTCCATCTTCCCATCGTCTTTCACTAATTTCCCAGATTGTCTTCCAGACAGACTACTCATCACCCAACACCCCCCTGATTAACCCATCCTCACCTCTCCTCCCCTCCTGAGACCATGTTCCTGCCTTAGCTATGCCCTTCCCCTCCTTCACCCAGGCCTGGCTTTCTTATTCCTACCTCTCTTCTTCCGGGATGTCTTCCCCAGTGAGCCCTCCTGGGGTGGTGGTGGTGGTAATGGTTATTCAAGATGGGTAATATACGAGAGGGGCTGACACTCAACACATGATGGAAATGTCCTGCCCACACTCCCCATTTTCCTGTGCCTCATTCTTGTTCATGGAGCAGGCATGACAGCATGTTTGCGCAGACATGGAACATGTCTGCACGCCTTGCCAGTGTGCCCCCCACTGTTGTCGTTCACTCCTTCCTCATCCCACAATTCCCAATAGACACAGCTCCATCTGCATTCTCACTCCTTTTCTTAGAGACATAAAAAATCCTTAAGTTTTCTTCTCACATGTGTGTTCCACTTCCTCCATCAGATTGGGAGCTGCCTAAAGACAGAGGCTCTGAACACAGGATTCATGGAGCAGCTAGTCATTAGAAGGATCTTTCAATTCTTGACACCCCTTTGGCATTTGACATCCACTTGCTGAGCCCTTAATCTACTACTTGATATTGTGTTATTTTTCCAGAGTATGTATGTATCAGCCACCTTCCCATATAGACTCAGCCTCAGGGATGTCTATACTGTGCTGTCCGGCATGGTAACCACTCCCCACATGAAGCTATTTTATTTAAATTAAATTAAATGTAAAACTCAGCTGCACTAGCCAGATTTCAAGTGCTCAAGTGGCTAAGGGCTACTGTATTAAATAGCACAGGTATAGGACATTGTCATCATCTGAGAAAGGTCCAGTGGACAGCACTATAACTTTTATTATAAGCCCAAAAGACTTTCCCTTACATTTGCATATAGAGCGAGGCTCAACAGAGATGTTCAGTAGCTCAGTCATATCCAACTCTTTGTGACCCCATGGACTGCAGCACACCAGGCTTCCCTGTCCTTCTCTATCTCCTGGAGTTTACTCAAACTCATGTCCATTGAGTCAGTGATGCTATCCAACTGTCTCATCCTCTGTCACCTAACAGAGATATGTAATGCAGTATTGATGTCTAAGGTAAATCAGAGTGTGAGATAAGTATGATTGTCTATATATATATATATATATATATATATAGTGGGGCCCGAATCCTCAACTCTGTCATTCAAGAGATTCCTTACCTATTGTCCTCTCCCTGTAACCTTGTTCCCTTTCTCCACTTCAAAGGTCACTCTGAACTCACTTCTGGAGGAATGACCCCACAGCCCCTCACCTGCACTCCTCACTCTCCAGCAGCTTGCGGTAGGTAGCGATCTCCCCATCCAGGGCCAATTTGATGTTCATCAACTCCTGGTAGTCATGCACCAGCCCGGCCAGGTCATCCTTGGCCTGCTGAAGGGCATCCTGCTGTTCTTGGAGCTTGGTGTCGGCATCCTTGAGGGCCAGCTCCCCACGCTGCTCAGCATCAGCAATAGCGTTCTGCAGGTTGGCATTCTAGGAAAGAGGGAGTTAAGAGACTGTTTAGCCTAGTGACCAGAAAGCAAACAGCTGATCTTTCCAATGTCTCTTACCCACCCAAGAAATTCCTCCCTTTCCCTTCCTCCCCTTCTTAGAAATTCAGTGGAGCATACTCAGAAAACAGAAGTCAGTGTCACAGTTGGTTCATTCTTCTTTGGCCCTTTTAAATTAACTCATGTCTCATCAAGAAGAGGAACACCAATTTGCTGGTTAAGGTGGCAGTAGTCTGGTGAATGGTTCTCTTTTTTTAAGATTGTTAAAAGACTGTCTTTCCTAATCACTTCATTCCAGTGATACAAATTAGTCTTCAAGGTTACATGAAGTGCATAATAAACAGCTCACTGAGGGCAGATCCTACTGAGAGCTGAGTGTTTAAAGCCTCCCTTACAGTTGGAAGATTTGCTGCTGGGCAAACCAGAATGGACAACCATCTCTCCTGAAGGAGCCTTCTGAGAAGCCCAACCTCCAGGAGGAGAATCGAGGAGAAGAGTGTCCCAAAGACCAGGCTCTCCCGCAGGCAACACCACAAAAGGACTGAGAAGGCCTGTGACAGAGGCCCAGCTGTTGCTTCTCCTCCTCCTCAGGGCCCAGAAGACCTCCAGGACTTTCCACTCAGCCCAAACCCACCTGCTTCTTGAAATTCTCAATCTCAGCCCGCAGCCTTGGGATCATCTGGTTGAGCTCCATGATCTCAATCTTGGTGCTCTTCAGGTCGTCCCCATGCCTGCCAGCCTTGTTCTCCAGCTCTCCAAGCTGACAGAAGAGAAACCCATCATCACAACTTTGCAAACTGTTGGAGCGCTTTTGATGGAGGTCAGCGGACCTACAGCTAGAGTGTGGAAACAGATGAGAGCTCCCACCTTGGTCGTGTACAGCACTTTGGCTTCGGCCTTGCTCTTCTGGGCAATGTCCTCATACTGGGCCTTGACCTCATTGATGATGCTGTCCAGGTCCAGGCAGTGGTTGTTGTCCATGGACAGGACCACAGACATGTCATTAAGGTGATTCTGCATCTGGATCAATTCCTGTGGGAAACATGGAGCTCGCTTTCACCATCTCCTGGCCTCAAGAGATGCTGAGAATAAGGAGGTCCAAGAATCTTCTACCCCACCAACAAGGGTGCCAGGAGTGGGAAAGTTAGAAATATCAGCTTGCATTTCAGGCCCGGCTGCAGCCTAAAGGATACCAGACAACAAAACAAAAGGAAAAAGGAACAGCACCTATATAATAAGATTGTCAGCCTACCGGGTGGGTTTCCAGGGGACTGCAGTAAGGAGGGGTCCTCTGGAAGAGCTCACGGTAGTACTGGGTTAAGAGCCAGAGGGTTAGAGCCAATTACAGAGGGTAAGTAGGGGACAGAGAGGGACCCTGGCCCTGTGAGCCAGGTCTAGGCAACTGTGAGGAGTTAAGCTGGCATTTCCTGGGTGGAGTAGAGCTGAGAGGTCTGAGCCCTACTGCTGGTTTTGTGAGTGTCCTGCCATGTGCGTGCATGTGCTCAGTCCCTCAGTTGCATCCGACTCTTTGTGACTGCATGGACTGTAGCCCACCAGGCTCCTCTGTCCATGGGATTCTCCAGGCAAGAATACTGGAGTGGGTTGCCATGCCCTCCTCCAGGGGATCTTCCNTCCTCTGTCCATGGGATTCTCCAGGCAAGAATACTGGAGTGGGTTGCCATGCCCTCCTCCAGGGGATCTTCCCTATCCAGGTATCAAACCCGCGTCTCCTGCCTTACAGGCAGATTCTTTACCACTGAGCCACCTAGGAAGCCCCATCCTGGCACGTGACTGTCCCCTGATGTCACACTTGGGAAGTATGCTTGGAAAGATGCAGATAAGAAGGCTCTGGGGCTTGGCCAACCAAGGAATCACTGTCTCATAGATGGTCCTCAGGAAGTTGAGTTCATCTGTCAGGCTGTCCACCTTAGCCTGAAGCTCCACCTTGTTCATGAAGGCTGAATCCACGTCCTGAGCGAGAGGAAGGGAGGAGGGCAGTCAGAAACCAAAAGAATGTGACCGTCTGCTCCCCCTCCACCCACAGCACTGAGTCTTCATCATTCTTCGTTGCCCTCCCCCATTCCTCTTTCTAATTATGACTTCTCTTTTTTGAAAAAAAGAAAAAATGGTTTTCTTCCTTTTAATTGCCTTGGCCAATCAAATCCCAATGCTTTAACAAAACATAGCCCCATCAGCCAGGTACAGAGTAAGGGTAGCAAAATCACATTTATCCAATATATGACTTTAGTTAGATAGGACCAAAAACCCAGCCTCCTGAAGAGAAAGGAAGGCATTCTTTTCACAACTTCATCTTTATGATGACTAGCTGACACAAGCTACCAGTATTTGCTGATTGTTTTTATTAATAACATCCAGGGTACACTTGTAGACTGAAAACATTGTTTAATGCTATAGATAAAGCCTACATTATTACTTCACATCACCAATCAGCTCATTGGTCACATTATAAGATGTCATTCCCACCAGTAACATACTCAGAGCAGCTTCCTTCATCAAACACCTCATTCCCCAAAAATGCAAGAAAAGATGTAAACAGCCCACAGAGCATAAGGTCACAGGGCCCCAGAGAAGTTGGCTCTGCTCTCCCACCAGGGACATCCACACCCAGAAAGGGAGCCAAGGTTCCCATTGTCCCAGATTCCTCCCCTTCTTGAGCCCAACAAACTCATTCTCTGCAGCAGTACGCTTGTTGATCTCATCTTCATACCTGGGACAGAAAGAGCCATGCGTTTGGACATTGACATTTCAGAAATTGAAAACAAAAAAACAAAAAAAGAGGCTCCTAAGAACTCAGGCAGAATCTCCTCACCAGGGGACAGGACCAGCTTCAAGGGTGTGCGACCCATAGTTACATAGAGCCCTGGGTTCAGAATGTCCTTATGCTTGGTTTAAAGCTCTGTTGACCCAATCTTGAAATTCTTAATAATTTTTTGACAAGGGCCCTGAGTTTTCATTTCACACTGAACCCCCAAACTGATGTCGCCAGTCCTGCCTAGAGGCCTTTCGGAGCTCAGGCTGCTGCCTCGACCATCTTCCTCTAGGTCTGAGTGACATGCCAAGGAGTGGCAGGCAGGGGAGGGGAAGACTTGGAGGAGCCCAGCTCTAGAGACATCACGAAGCATGTGGGCAGATAAGCCCAGAGAGATATTTGCTCAGCCTGGGTGTTTCAACCTCTGTTCTGTTTCTCTTCTCGTTAGTCTGAGCAGGTGCCCACAAGCTTGTGCATATGGAGTGGAATGGGGCCTCCCCAGAACAGGCTTTCCCCTTCTTGCAGGTCCTGACCCCCGGGGATGTCTGGAGGCCCCTTCCCATCTTGAGAGGTCCCGTTTACCTCTTGCAGACCTCAGAGGATGTCAGCCATAATCGCAAACATGCAAGAGGGAGCTGACTGAAGCTGCAGAAATGGGAATGGGCTGGACACATTGGAAGCGCACTTTACAGCAGTCTGCCTGGAACCCCTAGGACCTGACCCACCCACCGGTTCAGAATCTAGGACCAGAGCAGGGGAATTTACATTTTTGATGGGCTTCCAGGGTGCTGCCTTGGTACAGCAAAGTGTGGAGGGCCCTCCAGTCTAAAGGACTTTGAGCTCTGGGAGGACTCTCTCATCCATCTGGGCTGGTATAGAAGGGCCCTGCCTGGAGACTGACAAATCTGGCATCATCAGCCACTTGGAAGTCTCAGTCCTCACCCTCTCATACACTCAATAAATCCATCCACAAGTCCTGACTGAAGGTACAGTCAGGAACAGTTAAAAAGCCTCAGTTGGGACCACATCTCCCTGCTAATCCCCCAGGAGGGGAAACTCCCCAGCTGGGGCCCTCACTTCTTTCTGAAGTCTTCCACCAGGTCCTGCATGTTCCTTAACTCTCCTTCCAGAGTCCCCTTCTCCACCAGAGCCGAATCCAATTGCCTGTGCAGGCAGTTAATGTAGCTTTCAAATAAAGTCTCCAGGCCTCTGGAGCCCAAGCTGGAGGCCAAGCCCGCAGTCCGCTGCTGGAGCAGGTCCCACTTGGTTTCCAGGACCTTGTTCTGCTGTTCCAGGAACCTCACCTGCAGCAGGGGAGGTACAGAAAGAGTCAGCTTCTTGAGTTGGCCAGGTGGGGCCATCCAACCCAAAGGGTTCGATATATGGAAACTCAACCCGGTTGTCCAATCTTCAAGAGCCTCTGTTTGTTTTCAGGAATTTGAGAAGGATGAGGTTTTAGAAAAGGAGGAAGAGATACATTGAGTGCTTCCAAAATACTGTTTTCTCATAGTCTAACTCATCTAATCCTCCCATACAACTACCTATAGAGGAGGTGTTATCTCCATTTTGAAGATAAGGAAACTGAGGCTCCAAGTGCTTAAATAAGTTGCCCAAAGTGAGGTGGCTACTAAGTGACAAAACTAAGAGACAAACCCAGCCATCATCAAGCCTATTGGAATCCTTCAGTATACACCTAAATGAGACCTGCACAAATAAAGGTGTTTATCATCATCTTTTAAAGGAAAGCTTTTTTACCTCCCTTCAAGCAGGGAAAATAGTCAACGAGGTCTAACTTTTCCTAAGTTTTTCTTATTCTCCTTACTTGTTTCCCCTTTCAGTTACTCAGCTAACTTCAGTTTAACTTCAAATCCCAGGCTCTTTCCTTCACATCCAGCACAACTTTCCCTGCCCGAGTATGGACAGCTTGGTGTAATGTGGGCTGAAGCATAGCATCATCTAGAAGGTAAGTCAGTTGCCTCTACTCATCACTGAGAGGCAATCCTGAGACTCCTCCTAATGCAGGTTTGGTTGTCAGCTAGTTTGGATTACCAAGTAATTGCTCCTCAAGAGTCACTGAAAGCTAGCTATAATAATTTCATGGTTAATGCTCCTTTCTTAAAAAGAGCTAAGAGCATTCCTGGATTCTCACTTCACTTTCCTGAGCCCTGTCCCAAGAAGAAAATCAGGAGATGAAACCCTTCTCCCATTTCACAGCTAGGAAGACAGGGCCTGTAGAGCAAGAGAGGCATACTGACTGTCCTGTAGGGGCCAAGGTAGAACCAGCATGGGAAGCTGGAACCCCTGCCTCTAAGCCTGGCAGGTCCCATGGGCATCTTCCTACACCATCTCCCTGGGCAGCCCAACCCCTCCAAGAACCTCTGGGCTTTGCCCTCACCTTGTCAATGAAGGAGGCGAGCTTGTTGTTGAGGGTCTTGATCTGCTCCTGCTCCTGGGCCTTTACTTGCCCAACCTGGGGGTCGATCTCCACATTGAGGGGCTGCAGGAGGCTCTGGTTGATTCCCCCAGGGCAGACACTAGAGCCATAGCCACCAGGCCCACCAAAGCTACTAGTCCCTCCAAAACCACCAACCCCTCCATAACCACTGCCCATTCCTCTAACTCCACAAATGCCACCTCCATAACCACCTCCATAGCCACTGACACAGCTGCTGCGTGCTCCCCCAAAGCCACCAGCCCGGGAGCCGCCAGCCACGCTGACGGAGATGCTTACTGCCACCCAGGTTGTAGAGGCTGCGACTGCCAAAGCCGCCTGCTCTGCTCCGGGACCCACAGACCCCCCTGCCAGCTCCTCCAGAGCGGGCCACACAGCTCATCCTGGTGCTGCTGCTGGGGACCACGGCAAAGCAGACGGAGAAGCCCTGGCTCCCTCCACTGATGGATTTCTTGCAAACTTGTCTGTTCATGGTGGGAGAGCTCAAAGGCAAGCTAGCGATCACTTAGCAGGAGTTGCGAGAGGGATGAGGACAGAGGATGGGGACAACAGAGGAGACTGGTCTTTATATACCAAGGAGTTTGGCTTGGAAGAAGGAGAGGCAAGCAACTAGCTGAGAGTCATCTTGGGCTTGGTTTGCCTCCCAGGCAGTAAGTTACTTCCACTTTGCAAACACACCTCAAAAATAATCCCCCGGACCAAAATGACTTTGCTCTCTTAGCTTAATCATCCAAACTTGCCTCGGTTGACAAAGGACTGGAGCTCTCCTCCCTCCATGGGTTTCCTCAAGGGTCTCAGGGAACTCAAACAGCACCTGATCCAGCAGGATGAAAGGGGGTTTGATACCAGGGGGTCAGGAGCTACTGAGCTCCGTGACACCAGGCTGAGGACCAGACAACCTTTTCCAGGTGACCTGAGTCCCTCCCCGCACGCAGAGTGCCACCACTCCATGGCATGTCCATGATACTTCAAAAAAATATCCAGAGGAGGGCTCAGGGTAAGGAGGATGGAGGGATGAGAGGTGCACTGACCCCACAGGATCTACTCTGGCACCACCTCTGCCAAATCGTCCTTTAAGCCAGCTTGTCATGTGAGCTGAGAGATGCTGCTCTCATGGAAACACAGGTGAAGATAAAATGTCTGACCTGTGGGAGCAATGAAGGTCAGATATGCAGCAAATGTGAAGCTTGCAAAGAAGGGGATGCATACGGAGAGGAGTCTCAGACCCAGCCCCTCTACCACCATCCTAGACCAGCAGCAGGTGATTTCTGGATCCAGAAGCAAGGGAGGGCAACTCCATCAGTTGGCTGATGGAGTCAGCTCAAAGACCCCATTCATCATCTTAGAATGAGAGAGCATGCTGTATCAGATCTGGTGGCCTTTGACCCCCTTCCCCGTCCACCACCTGGTCTGGGTTAGATGACCCTCCCTCTTTTCCCACCACACCCTGTGCTTTTCCCACCATGGCCCTGATTCAGAGTATCCTTATCTGTTTATTTGTCAGGACCCCTCTGGGTCCTGAGCTTGTCAAGGGAAGGAGTTGAGTCCTGCTCATTCTGAATCTCCAGCCTGTGTGTAGGGCAAGCACACCAAGAATGTGTGTTAACTGATGACCAGTACCTAAGTATATAAATAATCCAGACCCAGTCTTATGGAATGTAAATCTTCAGAGGAAGGATTTGGGTGTCTGTATTCTTAAGAAGCCCTTCAGATAATCCTTATGATCAGGGAAGTTTGGGAAGCCCTGGTCTAAAGATGGGTGTTCCTTTTGGGCTCAGGGAGTGAGGGGAATGGAGGACCCTTGGCTATAGAGTGGGTATACTGATGCGTTACTGCTCTAACTTTTGACAGCTCAATCATCCCCCATTCCTAGACCAACCCATCTCCACACCCAGCCACACCACACATGGCAAGAACAAATTCTTAGGTTGTTACCTACAAATGGGACTTCACAAGCTGTGGCAGAAATAGGGGCGAGTGATTCTCACACCCCGAGAAATAGGTGGTATGTCTACCTCCAGAATTCTGGTCAAATCGGCAACATGCACTCTGCCTTTCTGGGATGGTTTCCAGACAAGGCAATCTGGTGCAGAGGATTGGACTGAAAAACCCTCAAGAACCTCAAGTCTAGCAATTTTAACTGCTCTGCAGCTAATTCTCAATTCTCTGCTCTGCTTCTTGTCTAAAGTTAGTCCACTTGATTAGAAGCTCAGTTGCTCTTTGACCTTGAAGAAGTTACTTAATTTTTATATGTCTTGGTTTCCTCAACTATAAAATGGGGATGATAATAGCAGGTACTCAAGCATTAAACAAGTTAAATAACTATGAAATGCTTACAAAGGTGCTTAACACATGGTAAGCACTCTATGTTCACTTATTGCAAATATTCTACTTGGGAACATGGGGAAGGGAGTTTGGCCTCGACTGTCCTCAAAACAACTTTCACCCCTGAGAAAGAAGCTGAATGTGAGTGGAGAGTAAGATAAACAAGTTGGGACAGTAAAGAGCAAGACCTCTGCTAGAATTGATTTGGATTGGGTGACCTTGAGCAGTGATTCAACACACAAATTGGTGTTCCAATCTGTCAAATCCCTTCCAACCTAATTGGTTTGTGATGAGCCTCACAGGAAACAATGTAAGTTGAAAATCCTTGATAGTTATAAAATGTCACACAAAAAATAAGGTAACTGGGGTCTAACAGAAAGCCTGTCATCATGAGCTTCAGAAGACCTGGGTTCAAATAACCTCTTATCTACCTCTTACCATGTGATGACCTTGGTGAAGCTTCTAGACTTCTTTCTTGTTGTTGTTTAGTCACTAAGTCTGGAATTCTTTAGCCTCTCTTACATGTAAAATGAGGGTTCTTTTTATATGTAAAATGAGCCCCACTCACAGGATTGTTTTGAGATTTAAATCATGTCCAGCAACAAACTGGGTTTTTAAGTCAACATTACCCATCCATAGACAATTCATGAAAGGGGTCTGTGTCAGGTTCTTCTTTGAGACATTTACTCCATCTGTCAGTTGAATGCCAGTCTTCTTGGTGAGGTCTATGTTCATAATCTTTGAAACTCCTTTAAAAGCAGGAGATGAAATGCTCTCCCTGGGAACACAGCTGAGCCAGGCTCACCTGAAGCCCCAAGTGAGAGCTCATAGCAAACAAGGACAAACATCAACGTCTCTGACTCCTTTCCCCTCCCTTGGATCCAGTGCTGAGGCATGGGTGGCAGCCTCTTATGTGTGGCTCATTTCTGCCATCCTGGTAGATACTGCAGAAGAAGGATGGAGAGAGGTGATGGGCAGGTCACTGAAGCACAGTTTGGGGCTGGATTTTCCCAGTCCACATACCCTGAGCCTGCCAACCACCGCCTTATTTAGCCGGTTGGGATTGTTTTCTCAGCAGTTGACTAAAGCTGCTGAAAATATCCAGAGTTAGCATCCTGGGCTTTATTTCCCACTGATCTTCTACAGCAGTTCCAATGAACTACCTGCTGCCAAAAGTGTGAGTTCTAATCCCTCACTTGCTGGAAACTTCTGTGTAAGGTTGTCAAATGGCAGAACACTCTGAATACTTATCTCCTCACCTAGAAAATAAGACAGTTTTCATGAAGCAGAGTTGTTGCCTCCAACCAAATTGTTCTCTGGTACTCAACTGCAGTGAGAACGCTTAAGAGTTTCCTATAACGTAATTGTAAGAGGAAGAATGAATCATGAGATAGTAGTCATCACCTCTAGGTCAAAGTGAGCAGACATCCATCTCCATCCAGGAGATAAGGGTGAAGGGGTGATACTTACATGCCCTTTTCTATATATGGATTCACAGATCCAATTTTCAAGATAATCATTACTTTGTTCTTCAAAAAAAGCAGTCATTCTGGATCTGCTGCCCCTGAACTAAGAATTATCATTTTCTCCTTTTTACCATGTTAAAATAAAAATGCGGCACTACTGAAATAACTTTACTTAACAAATGAACAGTAAAAATATATTACTCTGTAGAACTAGCTCCCGTTAACAGCTTAAGCTTTATAAAGAAGTGATTGCTTAAGTACAGCTAAATTCTTTTGTTACTAAATCTTATTAGCAATCACAATTTATTCTAATTCTGGTTCCCTCTCCAGACTGGATTAAAATACTCTTCAACTCACCCCTAAATCCTTATCTAGTGGCTAGATTCTCTCCCAGGGCTTATCTAGGGCAGAAGTCTATCCCCAAGTTAGCCTTGATTAAAAGGTTTTGTGGTTAAATAAATTTGGGAAATGAAAATTGTTTAGCTTTCTCTTAGGTTTTTATTAAAGCTTATTTACCTATTAAAAGCCTCTTTCTTGTACAAAGAATCATTTACTTATACTAAATCAGAGCTCCCCAAACAAACCTAACAACAAAGTCTTTCTATCTTAACCCCTATCAACTTGCTGTTGAATATACTCTTGTTGTTGTTGTTGTTCAGTCACTAAGTCGTGTCCAGCTCTTTGCAACCCCGTGGACTGCAGCATCCCAAGCTCCTCTGTCCTCCACTATCTCCCAGAGTTTGCTCAAAAGAAACACTAATACAACCAGGTATCCAAAATGAATAAGAATGCAAAGAACTAAACAGACATTTCTCCAAAGACATACATATGGCTAACAAACACATGAAAAGATGCTCAGCATCATTCATTATCAGAAATGCAAATCAAAACCACAATAAGGTACCATCTCACACCAGTCAGAATGGCTGCTACCAAAAGTTTACAAACAATCAATGCTGGAGAGGGTGCGGAGAAAAGGGAACCCTCTTACACTGTTGGTGGGAATACAAACTAGTACAGCCGCTATGGAGAACAGTGTGGAGATTCCTTAAAAAACTGGAAATAGAACTGCCATATGACCCAGAAATCCCACTGCTGGGCATACACACCAAGGAAACCAGAAATGAAAGAGACATGTGTACCCCAATGTTCATCACAGCACTGTTTACAATAGCCAGGACATGGAAGCAACCTAGATG